TTCTTAATTTTATAATTAATTAGTTTCAAAACATGATTTTGTTATTAGTCAATAATAATAATAACATTTTGTTATATAGGATCAACTTATGCTCATATAGAGTTTTTTTTCTTACAGAATTCGCCCCAAACTCCTAATTAAAGGCTAAGAACAAAAGGAGTAAGAAAGTCTCCCAATAAATAAGTCTGCGGATCTGTTCATTGTCCCTGAATCAAAATTGGTGGTGTGCTGATGTTTTAACAGTAGGCATACACAGTTACTTATACACCTGGTTACACTTTAGTCACATTAAAAATTTAAAATAATAAAGCTCAAATTATACTAATTGAGAAATGGTAAACTGTTAATGTTGTTCACCAATTATAATAATTTCCAAATCGTTTAAGCTGTTCACTCTGTAAGTTTCACCATTTTGCTGATTTCTAGCAGCTCTGCAAAATCATGGAGCTACTTAAGTTAGGTAAAATAACCTATTTCAATTAGTAGAAGGAGAAAATAACCTATACAATAAACAGGAATTAACAAAAAAAATTAAGTTAAATTTTATGAAATATATCTTTTTTTGTTTCTAATAAGTGTATCTATCATTTTATAAATACATAGCAAACTTATTCTCTTTCAATTTATAAAAAGTGACTACAATATTAAAGTGAAATCATATAAAGAACACAACCAAACATTTGAACCAACCACTATATATACATATACATATGCAATCAGTTTTTGTATTCTGCAAAATTATATAGCTACATTAACTGATGTTTTTTTCTAGCAGGTGTGCATTATTATGGACCTACATAAGGTGTGTAAAATAAGCTCCTCTAATAACTTACCTTTTTATGTTTCTAAGAAACTTACATATCCTTTATATACCTTAAATGACAACAATATACCTTGAAACAATTTAATGAACTAATAAACTATATCAATTTTTATTCTAGCAGGTATGCAAACTGACACTGCTACTTAAGGTATGCAAAATAATACTTATGCATGTATATACTTTTCTTTCAATACATTCTAAGTGACAACTATATAGCTAAACACTGAAGCAACTACTGTATACTCAAACATGCAAAAGCTTCAATCTAATTACCCTAAGGTTATTTTTCAAACAATACTCTCATTGTTCATTTAAGAATCACATTACAGTTCATCTATATTTTTTAAATAATGTCTCATTACTCTTGAATAGTGAATTGCTATCATTTCTTAAGCATTTTACACCCAATATGTGTTATTTACACATGGATATACATTTATATGCCCCTATCATGACATGCATTCTTCAAAATATTTGCAAATGTTTACACTGTTCCAATCTGCATCTGCATATAGGCAAACAAATCTGCATTGACATCTTAATTTTAACAGTTTTCAAAAACACAATAAAACAACAATAGTACTACCGAGTCGTTTCATCTCAATACATAAACTACTAAAATATGGAATAACCTCTACACATCTTCATTTTTTATGCAATCAAAACACATTGCTATTTTCACATCATCATTGAAGTACTTGTTTTCTTTATCATTCGAGTATAATGCCTTGGTAGTAGAGATTTAGCTTCAAGCTTGGCAACACATTCTTTGCATAAAAACACTTGCTTACCTCCTTCATACACCTGTAATGGCTTGTGTTCCCTCCGCACAGTACACATTCCCACATGAGCCAATTCCTGCACATTTTCTTGCACTTAGCTTCACTATTGTAGGTGTCAATCTTAAAAAATGGGGAGTAGCAGGGAGTAGAATGAGGTCTTATGGGCTGTATAATGTTGTATATGTAGTGCTTTTTATTAGGAGAGAGTGGCTGCAATTTTATAGAACAAACTGTGCATTTTTCGTAGTAAGTGTATTTTTATTTGTAATGATTTTTAAGAGATCTAATCTCAAATGCAGCAGAAACACACACCTGTCAAAGACTCAAAGAAGCAGGTCAGAAAATTCGAAAGCCATTTTTTGACATGATATTCATCTATAATAAAAAAAAACAGATGAGTAGATTAGTTCCATCGGCCAATATTCTTGATGCTCAACCTGAAGTGGCCTGATGATCATTTGTTCGGTGCTTACTCAATTTATAGGTGTATCAAAGGAGAAAATAAATATTTCTCATTGGTGATTGCAAAAGGCAGCTACATCCTCCAATATTATTGTTGCTATTTATTTATTATGGAATACGTAGTGCTCCGTTTTACTTTATCACTTTGGTAATTGATGTTCCACTTATTGTTCTACTCTCAGAAATCCCAAGAGACACTTCAATCATTATTCATGCGGAGTATTTATTAATTTGTATTTTTTTCATGCTCCATGCTGCAATTATTATCCTGCCGGACTTGCCCATACCCCAGTGCAATTTTATGTTACATTTTTTCCCGCCCATTCTTTCCCTTGACCTTTCTTGAGAGACTTTTCTGTTTTAATATATATATAGATTTGAATTGGATTAAGCTGCTTCATTTTTAATGTTGCTTCGTTTGGCTTTTTTGTTTTTCTGCTCACACATTAATCTGATTTCGTGGTCTAGCTGAAAACCCTGAGGAATAGTCTAATTCGTTTTCTAGGGAACAGGCTTTTACAGGATGGCTGGCAGGCTTATTATCTCATCAATTCATAAAAAAAAAAGATCACTTTTTATATATAACGAACACATTACAACTAATTTCCTTTAGACCTCTCCTTGTGGTGAGTTGTGTGCGGAATGGTGCACACCAAGTTGGTGGCTAACCGTAACCCATCCCGTCAATAAATCTAATCTCCCACTAGTTTATACGTATTCACTCAGTCAATTCAGTTTTTCTCTGCAATCCAACACCGTTAATATATTCACTCAGCACATTTTTTATATTTAAATCCTTAATTTTATTATTATACATAATTTTTATGCCAAATTCTATTTTTGCGAATAATAATGATTTAAAATGTCAAACTTTTCGATGTAAAAATAAATAAATTTGGAGTTTAATTTTTAAACCATGAGATCTATTTTTGAAAAAAATAACCAAGAAATGTAAAGTATTTTAACATGAAATCATAATTGTAACACTTGAATTGACTTCACGAAAAAATGTTAGGTCTAAAAATTTCCAACAAATAAAATTTCAATTTCTTAATTTTATATATTCAATATTGATGTCATATGAAAGGTTATAAAAAGTTATGGATATTGGTACTACCTCCGTTCTTAAATAAATGCAACACTTTGACTTTCACACTATTCACATGTTCTACTTTGACTACGTTTTATTTATTAATGTAATAATATTATTTTATGAAAAAAATATTGTTAAACTTGTCTCATTGTAAATTTTCATAATCTATTTTTTTTAATTTTTTTACTAATACTAAATCATTTATATTAATGGTCAAAGTTGTGTCTCGGCAAGTGTGAAATGTTGACCGTTGCATTTATTTAAGAACGGAGGAAGTATATTTTTTATTTACATTGGAGTTCAAATAAAAAAGTTATACTATAATTAAAAAAAGAGATGTTTTTATTTCCCTGGGTCCCATGTCCCCGCCACTTGTCCAGCTTCTTTTCCTCCTACGTGCTCCAACGCAATTCTCCTTTCGGCAGGGTGGATCAGGGTCTTCCCAATTCATAATCACCAATCACTCCCATGTGTACATAATTTTGTTTGGGTTGGAGCACACGTTGGGGTGAATACCTCAAATTTGGGTTCACCCCTTGCAATGCGGACAGCCTAAGAGGTTTGTCAAAATAAACTTGTATCCATAATTTGAGGCATGTAACAAAGTAAGAATAACAAACTTTGAATTAACAAAAATATACGGAGTACTACTATAATGTAATGGTTTGTAGGTGTAGGACTCCCTAGTGTCTACATTAAGAGGCCGTTTGGTAACACTGTTTTTCGACTTATCATTCTTATCAGTCAACTTTTTCACCAAACACGTAAATTTTGTTTTCGCGTGCTGAATCGTGTAATAAGCAGAAAAAGTAAGGTTAGAGTTACTTTTCTGACTATATTGGCTGAAGTTACTGTAGATGACCATTTTAGCTATTTTTACATATAATTTTTTCTTTAATTTATTAATAAAATATATTTTAAAAATAATTTTTTCTTAAATCAGCAGAATCAGCCAATGCAGCCACTTCAGCCAGAACTTCATAAATTTCAGCAGAATCAGCCAAACAGCCGATTTTCATGCTACCAAACGGGCTCTAAGACTCCCTTGATATTTACATTAAGGGAAAACCATCGTATAAGTTCTCGTAGTTTATCAAAAACGGCAATTAAGTCCCTGTAGTTTAAAAACACTCAAACGGGTCCTCCAAGTTGTCAAAAACATTCAAATTGGCTATCTAGACAGTCATCTTTCGGTTGTCCGGTAACCCGATTACGTGGCTGTCCATGTCATTTTTAATTTTTTTATTTATTTATTTTAAATTTATAAAGTTCATCTCTCTCATCTTTTCCTTCCTCCGACTAGGGACGGAGCCACATGTATGAATGTGGTGCCAATTGACACCACTCAAATATTTTTTTTAGCTATATATATACATATATACATATATATATATATATATATATATATATATATAAATTTTCTGAAAACTAATTTGACACCACCAATATAATAGAAATGTTGTCAATGGACACCACTCAAATATTTTTTGTAGTTATATATAAAGGAATTTCATTCTAAAAATTAATTTTAACACTGGCTCTATAAATGGAATGAAGGTCAAGGTATAGAGTTTTTTCCAGGAATAATGTTAATTAAATAAATAATTCCCAAAATACTGCCGGGTTAAGAATAATTCCCAAAATACTGCTGGGGTTAACCACGGTTAAGGAAAGCCGCCACTTCAAGTGGCGGCTCTTGTGAAGCTATACAAAAGCCGCCATTTGGAGTGGCGGCTCTTGTGTCGTTGTATAAAAGCCGCCACTTGAAGTGGCGGCTCTTGTTAAACAACTAAACCTGTAATAACCTATAATAACCACCAATTTAAACAACTAAACCTGTAATAACCTATAATAACCAGATTATGTGCTCATCAGAGACTCAAAGTACATTCCAGTAAAAAAAAAACAACCAAACATATGATTTACTAAGAAAACATATACCCGAAACACAAAACGAATCAATGAAACTACATTACAACATACATCCAAAACACAAAACGAATGAATGAAACTTCATATTATGAGACTTTCACAAACGGAATCAGTACACCACAAAATTGAGTATGATCCATAAAAGTTATAATAAATCTGGTGTATCCCAAAATGATTCGATCTGCTAGTGCATACTACAACTTTCACACAATAAGTGAAATACAAATATCATAACTCAACGTGATCATCATCATCATGAAGCTCATGTAGTTGTGCTCGGGGACGTCTGCGCTGGTTACGAGGCTGAAGAACAACTCTATCACGTCGGACTGCCTGAGAAGACCCTGCTGCGGATGTAGATGCAGTGGAATGCTGAGACGCGGCCATATATCCATAATCGACTCGACCCAATACATCAGCACACAGTGAAACAATGCCTGAACAAGCGTCATGGTATCCCTGTACATCTACCGCCTCATCAAGTATAGCAGTCGCTCTGTCATGGATGCTACGCAAAGCCCGTGTCTGTAATGCAAACATGGTTATTAGTGAAAAACACATGAATAAATATATAAAGATATTTTATTGACTATGTTGTTTACCGTCATATGAAGAGCGACTGAGCTAGGCTGGTAATGATCAGTGGGTAAACGAAAACTGGGAGAGATAAACACTCGTGTGATGGTGTAATACCATGTCATGTAGTCTACAAAAGCTGTGGGGACTAAAGATGGGATCCCGTCCACTATATACGCCGCTCTATCATCCCACATAGTGATATACTGAATATGGCGCATCCCCCAATCTTCAGTGTGCTTCCCCCGTCTATCAATCTTGTGCAAATCCACAGATGTATCACAAGGTCCGGGAGTAACCTGCTGCAACCCAAACTGGCGTAGTACGCGATCAGGAAAGTAATGCTCCACAACATCAAAACATATCAAAGGCACACGTTGTAACACTTGAGATTTAATATAAATGGATTAATAGTACTACTCATACCAACAGAGGTGCATCTCCTTTTAAGGGAGCTCATTACCCAAGAACTCCAAAGTTAAGCGTGCTCGCACGGGAGTAGTCTTGGGATGGGTGACCCCCTGGGAAGTTTCTCAGGGCGCGCATGAGTGAGGACAAAGTGCGCAGTAAAGGCTCGTGGTGGTTTGTGGGGACAGTACTATTGGTCCGGAGTAACTACCTCGGGTCCGGTGGGGACGGGGTGTTACAAATGGTATCAGAGCATTTCTGGGAGATTTTTCAAAGCATTTATCCAAAAAGGTTTCTAAAAAAAAATCAAATATTTCTGAGGTTTTCTAACTCTTTAAGAGATACAACAAGTTGGTATGAAAGTCTGATTTTCAAATTAGAAATTTTCAAATAAACTTCACTTTACGTGACTATATATGATCTTCAAAAAGGCTTTATTTTTTAAACCGACGTTTGAAAATGTTCCAAGATGCTTTCTAAAACGTTTTTTTTTCCTTTATAAGATTTTTTTTTACCGGTTTTCTAAATGCTCTACAAAAAAAAAAAAGAAAAATAAATCTTATAAGTCTAGGATCGTGGTGAGATTGTGAGATTTTGATTTTTGTTGGAATTTGATAATGATTTAAAATAGGTATATTTGTGTGTATGTTCATATATATATGCTGCTTGTCTAGGAAAGACTTGGAACCATTGAGATGAAACCTTTGAGGTATGGTCATATTTGCTCGGTGTTTCATTTGGTGGAATACACGGTAGGAGGGTCCTAATTAGAAAATTTTAAGATTATATATATGCTTCGGGGACGAAGCATTCTTTTAAGAGAGGTAGAATGTAACATTTCATAATTTTATATAGTAGAAATTGGATAAAAGTTTATGCTTCGGGGACGAAGCATTCTTTTAAGGAGGGTAGAATGTGACACTCCATAAACTAAATAAAAAGAATTTAATATTAACTAAGATGTGATATTCATTTGTGGATAAATTTTCTTAGTTTATGCTTCGGGACGAAGCATCTTTTAAGGCGGGTAGAATGTGACATCCCGAAAATTAAAAAAAAACACAAATATATATATATATATATATATATATATATATATATATATATATTATATTATATCAGTCAGATAAAATGTTACGAAAGTGACAATTTAATAATTAAGTGAATGACATAAAATTTTAACATCGGTGACATTTTTAATCTGATAAAAATGTTTCGAAAAAAAAAATGACATTTTAACAATTTTAATTGAAGGGTATTAGTTATAAATATTTGTACCGAAAATACACTAAATACCATACAAAAAAAAAACTGTTAAAAATAGTTGACTTTTTCCAACCACATATACCTATACTTACACACACAATAATACGTAGATAATAATAGATGGTAATAATATTGGAGAATGATGTAAAGAAGTGTACACATTCATATGCATGCCAACACATTCACATGCATGCGTACTAACCATGGGATCACATTAGTACAAGGAGTAACAATAATGTATACAAACACATTCACGCACATGTATGTGTTAAAACCAAGCCCATCGCCAACTAACCTACACTCACATGGGTTGTTCGTAGCTACAACCTCCAACCTCATAGTATAAATAAGCAAGAACAGACCTTCAACTCTCTTCATCCCCAAACCTGCGGTATATGTATATACGCATATATATATATATATATACATATACACAAATTTCAACTCTTCGTTTTAGTCAAAACCGAGCCATGAAAACACCATAGAGACCTTCCCCTTCTCGAGAGGAATCCAATGGTGAAAGAATCGTTGAAAACGATCGTGAAACGACGGAGAACAAGCTTGCCGGAGTTCCGCCGGGCTAACCGTAAAGACGGAAAACGGAGAAGAAGAAGGAGCTGCCGCTGCCGCCAACCCATCACCGACCTTCGCCGTCCCCAAACGAGTCTTCTACCACCACCGTATCACGAATCCGTCGAGGTAACTCCCTCCCCCCTGCCTAGCTCGTTTTCTCGAAGTGTGATAGAGGAAGAAGAAGTGTACACATTTTTTATTTCTTTCTCTCTTAGAAGATTGGGCCCTTGGGCCAGGAGTTTTTATTTTTTTTATTTTTGGGCCAAGACTCCTAAGTAGTAGTAATAATAATAATAAAAATAATAATAATAATAATAATAATAATAATAATAATAATCTGCAAAATTGATAAATTTGAGATGAGAAGTATTAATGGTGAAATTGGCTGGAATAATTGATAGTAATTACTTGGATAAATTTGTTAATTGTTATTTAACATAGTTACATATTGTTAAATAATAAAAAGGAAATTGATGGTTCAATTAATAAAAATTGATAAACAAATATTATATTATAATTATTTAGTTGGACTAAGTAGAGAAAATTGGATCGTTATTGTTTTCACTCATTATTGGATTATTGAAGTAGATTAATAAGTTAACGTAATATCAAGCGTTTAAGTAATTAATTAATAAAATCAGATTAAGTTGATGACGATTAGTTAATTTTAAATAATTATATAACATTCGGATTGATTAATATAATAAGAAAATATGAATAGTTTATTTAAATATAATTCGGATATGTTTTGATAATATTGAAACACAGTTAATTCTTTGAATGTTTAAATTAAAATCTGATGTTGTAGTTAATTATATTTGGATATTTTTATTAGAATTCAAATACCGTAATTAATGACTGAATTCATAAGGTATTCTGATTAATAAAATGCGATTAACTCGAATAATTAATAAATGTACTTAACTAAATGAGTTAAATTGATCTTTTATATATAGTTAATTAAGTAAATGAGTATATTTAAAAATGATTAAGGTCTGATCTATTAATAAAATTAAGTTAGTTAATTTCGTAATTAAAGATTAGATTTTTTGGAATTAATTAATTAATTGGAACTAATTAGTGATAATAATTAAATAATGGATTTTACTAGTAAACTAAGTTCGACTAAGATAAATAAGTTAGTGACCAAATTGAAATTAGAATTAATCAGTTACTTTAATTAATTAAGTTTTAGCAGGCTATTTTCGGATAAATAAAATAATTAGGAATTATTAGTTTGTATAGCCGAAAATTAAATAGTAGTAGAAGTATAAATAAATTAAGTAGAAAATTTATTAAAGACTTAAATTATATAGTTGAATTTTATAGTCAAGTAGTACTAACTATTTTGAATAAGAGTAATAAACCGAATTAATTAAATTCAATAATGGAGTAGTTATTAATTTTCGCACATTGATAATATTAAAGGAGAGATTGGTGAATTCGTTGAAGACGTGAACTAGATTTCAAGTAGGGTTAGAGCAAAAGCGTGACTTTGAGGTAAGTTTCTCTGCCGATCCAAAATGGTTTCCTCGTATTATATATGTTATTACGTGATTAAAGTGTGAATTTTGAATATGTATTATTTGAAGTGTCATTACATTCATAGTATTTCAGAAAGTTGAGATATGGGATATTAAATTAAGTATTTTTAAACACCATTGAGAATGATTGGAGACTTGAGAAATATTCCGTGTTATGTGATTATTATATGTGATTATGTTGTGAGTTTTTGAATTATTTATATGTGTCATTTAAAGAGATATTAAATCTATAGTATTTGAGAAATACAAATTATGTACTTTTGGGGTATCAAATATTTTTAAATACCTTTTTGACTATTTAGAGAGTTTGGAAATATTTTGAAGTATATCTTGATACAAGATGAAAATTAACATTTTCATAAGAGGTGAGCACCCCGGGAGAAATCCGTGGTGTCGGTTTTTCACATCCGGATAAATGTGGAGGATTGTTAGGGCTACTACTACTTGAAGAGAACAAGTTTAGTAGTCGTTTCGATTCAAGAGATAGTGATGGGAACCGGATTCCGGGATGAGTTCGTAAATAACAAACGACTCATTGGGCTTCGGGCATAAGTATCCGAAAGTACCGCTCATCTTAAAAGAAAGTAGGAGATTTTGATTTTGGAAAGAGGAAGACTATGGAAGAGTTACTATATTATTTTCAAAGAAAAGTTGAGGACTTTAGTAAAGAAGTGATTTTTGAGAAATATCAAAGAGAAAAGAATTTTGGTGGAGTGTGTCATTTTTATATAGTACTATATGAAAAACTATTTTTCGCCAAACCTGATTATTTTACGGGGTTGGGTAGTACTTACTTAGCTCTAAAGCTAATTTTTGTTTCCCTTTCTTTGTTTTGTTTTCTGCACTTTACTTGTGCAGGTAAATCCTGCGACAACATTACCTCAAACTTTATTAAGAGGTATTACAAGGTTACATCCCCGTAATCACAACATTACCTTACTCAAACTTTTGTTTACATCCCGATATAGCTCATTACCTTACATATTGTTAAATAATGTTGTGATTACGGGGATGTAACCTTGTAATACCTCTCTGATACCAATTTGTAACACCCCCACCTTCCCTCCCAAAATAATACTTGAAATAATAGATTTATTGATAATAACTTGATTTATTCTTTCAAAACAGATAAAAAGTTTTGCAGCGGAAATAACATTAAATGGGAAATGGGTGTTACCGCCACATCCGGTCATCTCTTAACCGAATGCACAGGCAATCACCAAACAAAGTAAAACAAGTGTTCAACATAATTGGATTGTTTATTTATAACTAGGTTTGACTAAGGCATCACTAAACCGCTCTCGTGGTCATACAATCATCAGTCCACATAAGCATCATCACCTGCACAAATAAAGTGCAGGTGATAAAACAAAGAAAAGGGAACAAAAATTAGCTTTAGAGCTAAGTAAGTACTACCCAACCCCGTAAAATAATCAGGTTTGGCTAAAAATAGTTTTTCATATAATACTATATAAAAATGACACACTCCACCAAAATCCTTTTCTCTTTGATATTTCTCAAAATCACTTCTTTAATAAAGTCCTCAACTTTTCTTCGAAAATACTATAGTAACTCTTCTCTTAGATTTTCTCAAAATTCACTTCTTCTCTATCTTCCTAGTAATTTAGAAGGGCGGTGCTCAACCTTTCGACTGAGCCCGGTGGACCGTGGTTACGGACGGCCACCCCGAACAAGTGCCGGTACCACAACTGCTCTTGCGGAAACGAAACGACTACCTTAAGTGTGCACACCCCCTAAAAGGGATTCCAAGCCCTCCGAGTAGTAAGTCGTCACGAGTAATCGGGACTCAGTCTACCAACTACCCCTGAATAAGATATCTTTGAATGATTAGGGACTACTACTACAACTCTGCTTCTTAAAAGGGATCATCGATCCAATTATCACTCAAAACTTATCCTCACCCTTAGCAGTAGCAGCCCTTTTACGTCGGAACTACTACTGCTACCACAACTCTCCTTCTTAAAAGGGATCATCGATCCGAAAGTTACTCAAAAATCTCTTCTTAGTAGTAGCCCTAAACACTCTCCACATTTTAAGGGACGTGGAAAACCAACACCTCGGATTACTCCCGAGATGCCTACCTCTTATGAAATCATTCTTTTATCTTGAATTAATATACTTCAAAATATTCCTCAATTTCTCAAAATAGTCTCAAAAGTATCTAAAAATATTTAATACCCAAAAGAACTTCATTTGCACTTCAAAAATACCATAAATCTAATATCTCCTCAAAATCGCATACACATAATTTAAAATTCACTCTTTATCACAAAATGCATAATAAGCATATAATACGAGGAAATCATTTTGGATCGGCAGAGAAACTTACCTCGAAGTCACGCTTTTGCTCTAACCCTACTCGAAATCTAGTTCACGTCTTCAACGAATTCGCCAATCTCTCCTTTAATATTATCAATGTGCGAAAATTAATAACTACTCCATTATTGAATTTAATTAATTCGGTTTCTTACTCTTATTCGAAGTAGTTAGCACTACTTGACTATAAAATTCAACTATATAATTTAAGTCTTTAATCTACTTAATTTATTTATACTTCTACTACTATTTAATTTTCGGCTATACATACTAATAATTCCTAATTATTTTATTTATCCGAAAATAGCCTGCTAAAACTTAATTAATTAAAGTAACTGATTAATTCTAATTTCAATTTAGTCACTAACTTATTTATCTTAGTCGAACTTTAGTCTACTAGTAAAATCTATTATTTAATTATTATCACTAATTAGTTCCAATTAATTAATTAATTCTGAAAAATCTAATCTTTAATTACGAAATCAATTAACTTAATTTTATTAATAGATCAGACCTTAATCATTTTTTTTTTAAATATACTCATTTACTTAATTAATTATATATAAAAGATCTATTTAACTCATTTAGTTAAGTACATTTATTAATTGTTCGAGTTAATCACATTTTATTAATCAAAATACCTTATTAATTCAGTCATTAATTACGGTATTTGAATTCTAATAAAAATATAATTAACTACAACATCAGATTTTAATTTAAATATCATCATATAAAAAAAAAAACATTCAAAGAACTAACTGTATTTCAATATTATCAAAACATATCCGAATTATATTTAAATAAACTATTCATATTTCTTAATTATATTAATCAATCCGAATATTACATAATTATTTAAAATTAACTAATCGTCATCAACTTAATCTGATTTTATTAATTAATTATTTAAACGCTTGATATTACGTTAACTTATTAATCCACTTCAATAATCCAATAATGAGTGAAAACAATAACGATCCAATTTTCTCTACTAAGTTCAACTAAATAATTATAATATAATATTTGTTTATCAATTTTTATTAATTGAACCATCAATTTCCTTTTTATTTAACAATATGTAACTATGTTAAATAACAATTAACAAATTTATCCAAGTAGTTACTATCAATTATTCCAGCCAATTTCACCATTAATACTTCTCATCTCAAATTTATCAATTTTGCAGATTATTATTATTATTATTATTATTATTATTATTATTATTATTATTATTATTATTATTATTATTATTATTATTATTATTATTATTATTATTATTATTATTATTATTATTATTATTATTATTACTTCTACTACTTAGGAGTCTTGGCCCAAAAGTAAAAATAAAAACTCCTGGCCCAAACGGCCCAATCTTCTAAGAGAGAAAGAAGAAAAAAAAAGTGTACACTTCTTCTTCCTCGATCATGAACTCGAGAAAACGAGCTAGGCAGGGGGAAGGGGGTTACCTCGACGGATTCGTGATACGGTGGTGGTAGAGGACTCGTTTTGGGACGGCGAAGGTCAGTGATGGGTTGGCGGCAGCGGCAGCTCCTCCTTCTTCTCCGTTTTCCGTCTTTACGGTTAGCCCGGCGGAACTCCGGCAAGCTTGTTCTCCGTCGTTTCACGATCGTTTTCAACGATTCTTTCACCGTTGGATTCCTCTCGAGAAGGGGAAGGTTTCTATGGTGTTTTCATGGCTCGGTTTTGACTAAAACGAAGGGTCGAAATTTGTGTATATGTATATATATATATATATATATGTATATACGTAGTGTATATATATATACACGTATATATATATGTCGCAGGGTTGGGGATGAAGAGAGCTGAAGGTCTGTTCTTGCTTATTTATACTATGAGGTTGGAGGTTGTAGCTACGAACAACCCATGTGAGTTTAGGTTGGCAATAAGCTTGCTTCAACATATTCATGTGCGTGAATGTGTATTTCTTGTTCGCATACATTGGTCCATTGTGTGTGTAGGTGGGTTTTGGTCCCCTTCGGTCAACTCTTGTTTGATACAATGTACTCCCTTCGTCCCGCTATGATTGTCCCATTTTACCATTTCGGTCCGTCTCATTAAAATTGTCTCATATTTTTTTTTTGTAAAGTTCGTGTGATTCTAAATCATTCCTACTTTATTCTTACTTTATCAATTCAATATAAATTCATTTTTATTAATAACCGTGTCAACTTCTCTTGTCCCCAAATTTAGGGGGACGGAGGTAGTACTAGTATATAATTTAGCCCCAACATTTTCATTTGTGTACGTAGCATTATTTATATGATTATTTGTGTGTGCGTCACAATACATTTTGTACATTAAAATGACAATTTTATTATTTATGTTATATGTATAATTATTACTTGTTACAAAACTGTCACTTTTGCTATTTAAGTCGAGGTCTCGACATAATCATTATAAGATGTCACTTTTATTATTGAAACATTTTTATCTGGTTAAAAATGTCACTGATGTTAAGATTTTATCTGATTCACTTGATTCTAAGAAACTCACTTTCATAATATTTTGCTAACCAATAAAATTTATTTATTTTATTTTATTAAATTTTTCGAGGTGTCACATTCTACCCTCCTTAAAAGATGTTTCGTCCCGAAACATAAACTAAAGAAACTTTATCCACAAATGAATACCACATCTTAGTTAATATTAATGATTTTTTTTTTTTTTTTTTTTTTTTTTTTTTTGGAGTGTCACATTCTACCCTCCTTACAAGATGCTTCGTCCCGAAGCATAAGCTAATAAAATATCTTATAATTTAAGAGGTATTACAAGGTTACATCCCCGTAATCACAACATTACCTTACTCAAATAACTTTGGATAGCGGTTGCGCATATCATCTTCGGACTCCCAAGTGGCGTTTTCGGCCAAGTGGTTAGACCACAATACCTTTACCATTTTAACTGACTTCCTCCTAGTCTCACGAGTTTTTGTATCAAGGATCTGGATAGGCCTTTCCTCATAAGTCAATGTTTCGTCCAATTCGACAACCTAATTGAGTCAATGTTAGACATGTTGAATTTGATTTTGAAAATCGTGAGGTTACGATTTGTACCTCAGGGTTAAGGATATGTGATTCGTCGCGAATATACTTCTTCAATTGTGAAATGTGGAAAACGTTGTGTACCTAAGTACATCAAGCGTTAGTATTTGAGAGGCACTTACTATTATATTTACCATCGAGAGGTTTTAAGGTGTGTCTTACCTTAGCCAACTCCATGGGTAAAGCTAAACGGTATGCCAATCGTCCCACTCGTTCGAGGATATCATATGGGCCGATGAACCTTGGGCTTAACTTTCCCTTCTTTCCGAATCTCATTACTCCCTTCGTCGGTGAGACTTTGAGTAGGACTTTTTCTCCCACTTTGAATTCAGCTGGCTTCCTCCCCAAGTCAGCATAAGACTTCTGACGATCTTGTGCAGCTTTCATCCTGGCTTGAATCAGTTTCACCTTCTCCATGGTGTCATGTAGGTACTCTGGCCCTAGCACCACTTTGTCTGTCAAGTCACTCCAGCATAGTGGACTTCTACACTTTTGACCATATAAAGCTTCGTACGGGGCCATCTTGATACTGGCGTGGTAGCTATTGTTGTACGAAAACTCTATTAAGTCTAAGTGTTCGTCCCATGACCCTTGTAGGTCTAACATACATGCTCTCAGCATGTCTTCGAGTGTTTGGATTGTTCGCTCAGTTTGTCCATCAGTGGTTGGGTGAAAGGCTGTACTCAGTTTCAGTTTCGTCCCCAGAGCAGCTTGCAATTCCTTCCAGAATTGAGATAGAAATCTAGAATCACGGTCAGAAACAATGTCTTGTGGAACTCCATGATATTTAACTACATGTTTGATGTAAGCTCGAGCTAACTTTTCCATGCTCCATGTCTCGTTCATTGGGATGAAACGAGCGGTCTTTGTTAACCGATCAACTATAACCCAAACCTTGTCTTTGCCAGACTTGGTTGGCGGTAAGCCCCCAACAAAGTCCATGGATATAGAATCCCATTTCCATTTTGGCACCTCTAAAGGTTGCACGAGTCCCTTGGTCTTGCAACGTTCGGCTTTCACCTTCTGGCAGTTTAAGCATCTAGCCACGAATTCAGCTACCTCCTTCTTCATCTTTGGCCACCAAAAATTGTTTTTGAGGTCTTTATAGAGTTTGTCGCCTCCAGGGTGTACCGAGTAAGGCGTGTTGTGCCCCTCCTCCATGATTTTCTTCTTAATCTCTTCACATTTCATCGGGACACACCACCTTCCTTTGTGTCGAATGCTACCATCTTCGTGTAGTTTGAATGGTCCGTTTAAGCCATTCGTCATACCAGCTCGGATTCTGTCCAACTTTATATCTCCAGGCTGCCCTGCTCTAATTTCATCGAAAAGAGATGGGGTAACGGTCATGGCGAGTAACCGCGTTTCCCGATCTATTTCTCCGAAATCCCGTACCTCCAAGTCTAGTTTTTGAAAGTCCCGATATAGCTCATCAGGTAGTATCCATGTTGCTCTGCAGGAGTGTGTTGATATAGCTCATCAGAGCAACCCTGCGACAGTGTGTTGATCCATTGGATATCGGGCGGGCACTTAGCAGGGGAAAAGATTCTGGGGTGTGATTGAGATTGGTTTAAGGGCGCAACGAGGACGTTGCGATCCTAAGTGGGGGTGATTGTAACACTTGAGATTTAATATAAATGGATTAATAGTACTACTCATACCAACAGAGGTGCATCTCCTTTTAAGGGAGCTCATTACCCAAGAACTCCAAAGTTAAGCGTGCTCGCACGGGAGTAGTCTTGGGATGGGTGACCCCCTGGGAAGTTTCTCAGGGCGCGCATGAGTGAGGACAAAGTGCGCAGTAAAGGCTCGTGGTGGTTTGTGGGGACAGTACTATTGGTCCGGAGTAACTACCTCGGGTCCGGTGGGGACGGGGTGTTACACACGTGCTCGCCATATCTGAGTGTGCTCTCGGGCAACAGGAAGGCAACAGGCCTAGAATCTCATCAGTGTACGGCATCCACGTAATCTATAATATAAAATTAAGTTATACCATGGTTTATAAAAACATAAAACAAATGACTTACATTTAATGATATACCTGATCATCACACAAGCGATCTAAAGCATCTCGGTAGTATCCTAACCCAGCAGCGGATGACGTGCGCGTGACATGAGCAAATAGCCATCTGACACATTGTAATGTATAAGAATATATAACAGGATTCACGTACGTCATACAAAAAAAAATCGTAAACATACCTACGACCCAAAGGATCCTCACCACGAACATGATGTGGCCCAAGTACTGCGTGCTGATCCATATCATCATCAAGAGGACCACCATCTACCCCATGATATCGCAGTATGACAGGTCTGCCGATATGAATGTGCTCCCATGACCATAGCTGTATGAGCAATAAAAACCCACCCATCTCTCCACCGTCACGATGACAACCTCGACATAACTGCCGATATAGGTATGCTAAAGTGGCACTACCCCAGCTATAAAATGCAGCTACATCAAAAGACTGCAGAATGGGTAAATACAAGACCTGCACCTCATTCCCACTCTTGTCTGCAAACGTGGAAGCTCCCATAAGCATCAGAATGTATGCTCTCGCGTACTGCTGCACAACATCATCATCAGCATCAGCAGGTAAACCAACAAAATGCTCTCTCAACCAAGCCATCCTCAAAGCAGACCCCCGAATATCTGTCCCCGGGTGTGGCCGTACTCCCAACAATCTATGTACCACATCAACCCACAGTCTACATGCAGTCCCAGTAACTGCCCGACCCTGGATCGGTAGACCTGCCAATACAGCCACATCTCCTAATGTGATCGTGACCTCACCCACCGGTAAATGGAATGTGTGAGTCTCCTGTCGCCAACGCTCAAGTAGAGCGGTAAGTAATGCTCTATCTATATGCAAAGTCGAAACTAATCTATGAACACCATAAAACCCGGCTAATCGAACGTAATGAAGAATCCTATCGTCCACCCCCATGTGGAATGTACTGCGTAGGTGCTCACGACACCTATCTACCTGAACATCCAGGCCACGCCACACATCCTCGCTCCGGTGCGTGGCCTGCAATGTCAGGACTGAAGGATCAATCGGTCCGGGATCCACTGACACCTGCATCGGCACTGTAAAAAGTAATAAGTGTATTAGTTATTTCATTTTAATATTAAATTAAAATTATATATTTATTAATATTGCTAATGCATTTGCGAATAAAAGAACAACATTACCCAGTAGAACTCCCTACGTTTCCCTCTGATCTTCTAGCACATGTGGTCCTGTTATGCCCTGTTTGCTTGCAGTTACCGCATCTCACAGTACCTTTAGGACCTTCATCCATTTCATTTCTCAATCGTTTAGCCTTCGGACGACCTTTAGCGCGAATCATCGACGGGTCATGCACAACTCGTGGTCCAGTGTAAGTAGGTCGGTATGCTATATCTGGTATGGGCTTAAATACTCTTTTATAGGAAGCCGCATACTCCGAGGAAGAAAAAAATTTATCAACAAAAGCATCATAGGACAAACTACGGTGTCTGCATACCGCTAATATATGTGAACAAGGAATCTTATAAATATTCAGCTTCTGACATGTGCAATGGCGACGTTGCAAATTCACCGTTTGTTTTCTGCCACCCTTCCCCGTGGTTCGACCACCACGACCCGTCTCTACTTGGTATAAACCATGGCCTATGTCAAATATTGTGACCTTGTGATGCTTTGCCTTTTCCATATTTTTTCTCTATCATTTCGGTCACTTGCTGGCAGTAGCGATGCCCTTCTGCTAATCTTCTCTTACTAGTTTCTCTTCTTTCCACAAAATAGGCATTCACACGATAAAATGATAACTCAACTAAGGCGGTTACAGGTAGGTATCGTGCACTCTTCATGACACTATTGAAAACTTCAGCCATGTTTGTTGTTGTGGTGCCATACCTGTACCCCCCGTCGTGGTGTAAAGACCACTTCTCCAAACCAATGTTGGCTAGATATTCTCGTGCTTGTGCCTGCATTTCGCCTATCTTATTAAATCCACCATCAAATTTCTTTTTTTGGCGTTGACTTGCTGTCCATATGAACAGATTCTTCAGGTGAATGTCTTTAAATTGAGTATGCAGATTAGAAGCGACATGGCGTATGCAAAGCCTATGTCGTGCATCTGGCTCCTCCCATCCACCACCTACCTCATTAAATGCCTTCATAATTCCAGCATGTCGATCTGAAATAACACACAATTCTCTGCGTGTGATAAAATGACGTATGCACGCCATAAACCAGGGCCAACTCTCTCCATTCTCCGATTCACAGATCGCAAATGCCAAAGGGAATAGTTGATTATTAGCATCACTACCCATTGCCACCAACAATGTACCTTTATACTTCCCGTACAAGTGTGTTCCATCGATGGTTAGTAAGGGACGACAATGTTTAAAGCCCTTAATGGATGGCTTAAATGCCCAAAAAACCCTTTGAAACTGCTGAACATCAGTGGTACCTAAAAGATGGAGAAAATTAAGAGGACAAATTTATAATGAAATTTAATATGATACAATAATGATTTTAATAACTCATTGGTACCTGAAAGAGGTGGGTACCAATGCACGACTGTCCCTGGATTGGAATGTTGTAATGCCAACATGAAATGAGGCAATTCAGAATACGACGCCTCCCAATCTCCAAATATTTCACCGATAGCTTTTTGTTTAGCCAACCAACTTCGCTTATACGAAGGTATATAGCCGTACCTTTCCTTCATAAGCTGACTAATAGTGCGGACTTTTAGTGATGGATCGGTACGAAGAAGATCAATAATTTCATGTGCTATGAACTGAGCTGTGATACCAGCATGGTCATTGTTATCGACGTTACCTACACAAGTAGGTATATGAGGACCTGCATAACGAACAACTTTGAACATATCTAGCTTCTCATGTTTTTTGGTAGCCCGGATCCGCCAAGTGCAGCCACAGTCTTTTCTCCTCTTACACTCTGCCACCCATTTGTGTTTGTCAGACTCAACAACTGTGAAAAATTGGTTCCTCTTTACAGAGTATGCTCTAACCATGTTGATCAGTTGTTTCTTATTATCAAACTCTTGCCCAACCTCAAACTCACCATCTACAGAAAAACGACTACAAGTTGTAGAACCCTTCCATGATTCATCATATCCCGCAGGGAGCTCATAAACTTTAGTGTAGTGGCTGGATGGAGCATTGCCACTCACGAGATCACCACCATCTTCATCTGAATCTGTTAGCGCGTCGTGGTTCACATTTTCATCTGCATCATCGTCAGTGCACTGTGAATCTAGAAACGTTGCAGCACTGTTCACATATATTCCATTCTCCTGTGTAACCATATTCATCACAACTGGAACACTTGGGGATGTAAAAGACAATGGCGGGTGGCCAGGTTGTATGGGCAACACCGCCACTTCTTCAACATATATCTCCATGGTATGCATTTCAAGATTCTCGATTACAGTCCACATTCCTGTAACGGCTTCGTCGTCAGCAAGAGGCATCAACATGTATGATCCACCATGCATGGGATATTTAACCTTCAAATCCAACGTCTTCATACGATTGATGGATGTGGCGGTATAAATTTTATTCGTTATTTCAGCCAGATCCACCCCACGGGAAACAACAATTATCTTCCGAAACCCTCCTTCATATTGAACTCCGTTTGACTCCTCGATAATATTTCCTCCCCATTGACAAACAATGGAGAAGTTTCTAGACATATTCTACGAAAAAATGTTCCAAAAAAAAGTATGACGTATGCCGTTATTTTAAAATCAACTACAATTACTATAATTGAAACGAAAAGTATTACATCGTAGATACATAGTAAGATTTCATACCATTCAAGTAGGACTAATAATAATTAACTAGTGACAAAAAAATAGAGTAATGAAAAAACAACAAATTAACACATGATTAATTAACACTAGTTAATTAGTTGTAGAAAAGCAAAGTCCGTTAATAAACAATTAAACAACAACAACTGCCAGCAAATCAACAACAATTTTGAGCAAACCAAAAACAATTTCAAACAATTTCGAGCAATAACTAAAAAAACCTAGCTTTACCAAATATGGTGAAACTTGGTATAATTCAAATTTTACAAATTATATAAATTCAATCATTATAACAAGATTAAGAACTTATATATTTCACAACATCAAATACAAAGAAAATAATTAAAAAAACAACTAATTTCGAACACCAAATTAAAAAACTTAGGTTTAGCAAAAATGGTGGAATACCTCTATTCAAACGGTAGAAAGTCGCTAGAATGGAGAACAAACGACCTCGGGTACACCACGACTATTTTCCCTTTGATTTGAGCTTCTTTTGGACGAGAACTGGCAAGAATCGGGGCACCACTCACGGCTGTCGTCGTCGTCCGTCGGTTGCTGCAGAGTGAGGTCTGCTTCGTTCGTCGCCTGGGAAGGAGAGGATATGTCTACGAATTAATGAGCCGCCACTTCAA